CAAGTGTTTTGACTGAACACCTAATGTTATAGAAAACAGTGACATTCCTGATATGTTTTATCGGCCCTTGGGATTAGCCCTATAGGATAACCCAGTGATGGCGAACCTTTTAGAGACCGAGTGCCCAAACTGCAACCCTAAACCCATTTATTTATTGCAAAGTGCCAACACAGCAATTTAACCTGAATAATGAGGTTTTACTACCTAAAATAATGATAAACAAGGCAGAGGTCATCTAATTGTTCTAAGAAAAATGTGATAAATGCACTTTTATGCCCCTTATTTTTTTTCTGCTTTTGAAATATTACACTTAGCAACAATAAAAAAGAAAAACTTTCTCTTTCTCTCTTTCTCTCTCTCTCTCTGTTTCTCTCTTTTTCTCTTTCCCTCCCTCTGTCTCTGTTTCTCTCTCTTTCCCTTCCTCCCTCTCTCTCCCTCCCTCCCTCTCTTTCCCACTCTTTCTTTCCCTCTCTCCCTTTCCCTCTCTCTGTTTCTCTCTCTCTCTCCCTCCCTCTCTTCTCCTCTCTCTCTTCTCCTCTCTCCCCCCCTTGGGAGGTAGGAACTGCTGAACTGGTCCTGGGTGGTGGGAATATGACATCTGGAGGCCCAGGAGCCCAGGAGCAGCGTGCCCATGCTCAGCTGGTCGGCAGAGAGCCAAAGATTAGCTGGCCAGTAGGGAGGCAGGGCATCCCAACACCGGCAGCTTTGGAGGAAAAGCAACTGACATCCGGGAGGCCAGAGCGAGCCCATGACAATGCAGGGTCACATTGTGGCTCCGCATCATAATGGACTCCAGGAGGAGGATGGGACCCCATCTCCGCCATTGTGAAGCGTGCTAAATTTCACTGTGCTGTGCAAGGCGCTGCGATAGCAGTGGGCAGGTCATGGAGGCAGCAACAGTAAATGTATCGTGACGAAGGCGGAATGCTGTTTCGCGTATTTTTTTTTAGTCCCACAAACTTTTGTTTCCCTGCAAACGAAGTGAGAAACGTGATGGAGAAATGCAATGGAGCTGGGCTGGGGTGACACTGTGCATGCCCACAGAGAGGGCTCTGCATGCCACTTCTGGCACACATGCCATAGGTTCATCACCACCAGCCTAGGATGTTCTGGAGCAGAAATTTGAGGAAATGATTGTTCAGCTGCCCCTTGACTTCCAACATTTGCCTAAATAAACAGAAAGTCTCAGCCAGTGTCCAGCTGCACTTTGTCACAAATCAGTTTCCAATGTTTTCCCTTTCAGTTTTTGCCCAACTGGACTTGATCCAAATTTTGATAGCATTCTTAAAACAGACACAAATCAATTGGAAAGTAAAGTACAGAGCATATTACAGTGGGAGGAGTCTCACTTTTTGTTCACTTGTTTTCCGAAGATCAAACAAATGTTAAGAAAAAAGATAATAAGAATAAAGATGATTATAATCAATAATACAGGAAAGTGAATGGAGGTCAACAAGTCAATATTCCATGGAGATTTCTTAAGAAACAATTTCTCCCAGTCTGCTTCAATTTAATTTTTCCAGTCAATCCCTTCAGAAAACATGTTTCTTTCTCACTTTTTCCAAAATGGAAACAGCTTCAAAAAAAGCATGGAAGGATTACAAATGCAAAAAAATGATAATCTGAACACAGCCTTGATCAATTAGGATTCTTTCTTACTAATACCAATAAGCCATTGATCCATAAAATATCCTCCTACCCTGGAGGACACTATCTGGAGAAATTGAGGACTACGTGCTAGTGCTGTATGGCCAGTCCTTGATTTATGTTGTAGTCCGCAAAAGCTTAAAGAAAATGACTTGAGTGGAAAGCTTATATGGATTTTTTTTTGAAAGTAGAAAAGATTGAAGAGATGTTTTCTGGTTTGACGGATTAAAAAGGTCAAAAGAAAATGGAGAAAAAACATGACATGACAATTCCTTGATAGAAAGAAAGGTAGAAGGCATAACTATATTTTTTCTTCTCTTGCCATTACTTTTGTTCTTTTCTTGTTACATTCTTTTTTTTTTTATTATTTATTAATATACTGTATATTTATATATATTTAAATTATAGGGGTGGGGGAGAGAGAGAAATTTGGTTCGGCTGTCATAGGCATTAAACTATAGAGGTACACTTAGGGCAGGAAGATAGTGAAAGAGAAATAACTGCTTTGCTGGCTTCTGATACCACGAGTCTTATTTTTTCTAAGGACTGGCTACCTAGGCGAGCCATTTTGTGAAACAGATATAAATTGTTTTTACCTTTTAATGCTCTTCTACATACTGATAGGTATAAGTGCTTGATGAATCAAAGTAAGACAGGAAGAGCCCAAACATGCCCAAACATGCCTGTTACAATGTTTTTCTGCTCTATAGCATCTCTGATCAAATTAACTTATCAAAAAATTGCCGTTCTGGTTCTCCGCCTGCTAGACTTCATATTCAAATCATAGTTTAGGGTTAGCCTGACATGGCAGCAAATCTGATCATGGTTTGCTGTTGTAGATTAAAAAAAATCTCAAGCCACTTCCAAGGATCTCATTCCCACTTCTCACTAAAATTACGTTTTCTCAGGCTTCTTCCGTCTCTTTTTCGTGCTTTGCCCCACAATATCTGAGCGAAATGGAGGTTTCCTTTCTTACCTTGAGTAACAGCCCAGGCTCCTACAGCAAAAAAGAAGATAAATTTCTGCATGTTGCACTCTCAGTCTCTTGGGTTGGCTGTTGTCTGGATCGATTCCTGCCCCTGAGAGAGGCAGGCCAAAATCTGGATCAGTCCAAATAGGAGAAAACAAGGAACAGAGGCAGAGTGAGCGCCTATAGTCAAAGCGGCAAGTAGCTTCTGGAAGCAGATTTATCGACTAGCTCTGCCAAGCTCTCTTAATGTTACACAGCTTCAGGAAATATTTGCTTCCTCTCCATTGAGGCTCACTGAGCACGTTCTTCCGGCCCTGGCAGCCTTAGTTTTCCCTCCCAAGAAATCGCCTTTTTTCCTGATCACTGAAATCTAATTGACTCTTTCAATAACCTTTCTTGGTCAGCCATTCTCAACCTTTCGCTACCAGCCTCCATTATTCATATCATTTTGTATGTCAAGTGATTTTTTTTCACTTGAAAAAAAATGCTTTTTCTTAGCATTACCTCTAAAAATACCCATAGTTTTCCATTTCAGTATGTAAATACTGATGTCTAATACTAATTCAAATGCTAATGAATTTCCTTTGGGTGGTTCTTGATGGTTTCACTTTTTATTTTCCCACACTAACCATCTCCATTTTATAACTTAAGAAAAAGGAAATTGTACCTTCAATTTTCGTGTGAGAGTGCTACTGTGTGTGTGTGTGTGTGTGTTTTTTCATATAATGTACTTTTATATTCCATAAATAGGTCAAATATTACTATCTTATGTCTTAAGACACCTGCTTCATATTTTAAATTAATGTGCATGATTGATAACCAAGAAAGCATTTCCTATTTCAATTTGCCCCCAGTATTTTCTCCTGAAGGGTACAGTAATTGAACGCTTCTCCTCCCACACACACATGAATGTTTCCATCCTAATGACTCAGGTCCCCAAAGCAATCATCATTTAGATCTATTTGATCTCATGAAGTGGTTGTGGTAAGGAATGAGAAATCCAGTTTGAACAAGCCAGAGCAATTGGATGCATCCCAGTGTGACTGGTCTTTTCAGTCAAAAGCAAGAGTCCTTTTCCAATTTTACTGGGGATCTGACTGCATGAGAATCCAGTGGATTTAGCTGATAAGGGCCATTTGTACAAACTAACATTACAAACATGACACTGTTCCTTATATGGCCAAAGGCTCATAATTATTCTGTTCACCAGTGCAACGTGGTCCACTTGTGTCTCCAAAATCATATTTTTCTGCCTTTTTTTCTTTGTCATGAAGCTAAAAAGCTTGCAGTAATTCTTTTCAAACATCCAGTTTATTTTCCCCTTCTTCTCAGGATTACAAGGTAAGAGTACATAAGAAAAGATCTAAGCCTACAGAATAACAGAGCTTGACGTGACCTTGGAGGTCTTCTAGTCCAACCCTCTGCTAAGCAGGAAACCCTATACCATTTCAGACACATGGCTGTCCAGTCTCTTCTTAAAAGCCTCCAGTGATGGATCACCCACAACCTAAGAATAACGCGGGGGTGGGGGGGAGGGGGGCAGAACCGGTTCGGTGATGTCATAACATCACCACTACCGGCTCGGCAGAACCGGGCTGAACCGGGAGGAACCCACCACTGATATATATAAAACATATTTATATGTTAACAGGTATTCTGTGGCCATATATGTCATTCACAGTCATTTGAAGGCTTGAAGTTTCAATGAGTTAGCAATGAAGATGAGTTGCATAGGGGTACTTTTGGTTTACTTCTAAGTCCCATCTGCAGCATGCATGCAACCAATTCAGAACTACTGTTCTACCCCTGCTCAGTACCAGGATGCAAATTAAAGCATCCCTGAAGAAGGCTGTCCAATTATACCAAGTGTACACTACAAAAAGTAAAACCTTCTTCCTCAAGACACTTTCTCCTCCCAGATGACCATGAAGGAGGACTCTAGGATCTCCTCAACAAAATTAAAATGGTGGAATGCACCTTTGCGGTTGCATGCTTTCACTGGGGGTTTTACAAATGTTCTCAGTTAGAAATGCCTAGATGGCTCAGCCCAAGAAAAGTGGGGAAAGTTTTGAAAGTGAAAAGTGACAATGGCAAACTAAGAAGAACAGCCTGTTTTATTGATTGGGGGGGAGGGGGGAGGTGATTTTCCTTTTTACTCATTATAAAACACAGAATGATCTTTTTTCTCCTCCATGGTCTTTATTTAGGTTGTACTATTTTTTGTATAAGAATATGTACCATGACGGAACTTCTGCTGATAGCAGAGCAGAAATAGTCTCCTTACCATCTCTTCTATTTTCCTGGGAACATAACTCATTCAATATAGCATGCAGGGAACACTTCCCTTCTATTATGCAATATTTTTTTAAAAAAAATATTAACATTATTCTTTAGCTTTTTAATCATTTTTATTTTTTCCACACCATTATTTTCTTCTCCCAACAATAAAACACATGTGTAAAACCAAGAACTACATGATAAGGTTAGAAGACCTGCTGAGTTGTGAAACCACCACTGGGAGAGGCTAGTCCTGAATTCATTGTACCTCAGGGATTTCTTTCCAGCATTTGGAAATATGACTTAGAGTTATGGAATGTGTCATCTTGATAATCATGAATTCACATACTAGTATTTACTAGTATTTAAAAATAGAAAAAGGCTCTAACTTTTTGGCATGTGCTTTGAAAATTTGTAAGTGCAAATTTACAAAAACAGAAAGGAGTTTTTGAGAATGCCGACTAGCAGTCTGAAGACATAATGAAAACTCCTTAATTGCACAACATATGGACAGACTTACCCATAGTTTCCACTGGGAAGCTATGAGTATCCTAGACCAAGCTAAGTCCAAAAAATGCTAGAGAATTCCTGGAAGTCTAGCACTCAGACAAATCAACCATCAGTGGACACATAGTGAAAAATAACATCTACATTTCATTTAAAAAGAGACAATTAAAAAGCTAAACAGGAAGCAAAAAAGTCCTCCTCACCAGCAACCAAAACCCAGATAAGCAGTGCTTAATACCAGGATTAATATCAGACCAACCAACAAGCAGTAAACAATACCACAGTCAAGGAACTATTAACCCAAACAAACAGACAAACAAACAAACAGTAAAGAACAGCCTAATTAAGGAACTACCAAGAACACCCCCATCATTATGACAGGCAGGCCACCCATATATAAACAGGGAGCAAACTCCACTCCCTTCTAGCACTGATGATGGTACTCAGTTGGGTAATGAAATGTCTGTAAAAAAATATCCAAGCTCGGAGGGCACAAAGGACTAAAGAATTTTACTATGTCCCTTATGATTATGGTATTATTTTCAATTTAATAGCGGGAGGAGAAATCTGGAAGATGCTTTAAACTCTACAACTGAGTTGTCCATTATTGCAGGAAAAGCCCAAGCTGGTGTGTTGCAGACACCCTCTTCCTAGTGGTTCTGAGTGGTTTCCCAGTAATGCCTCCTCCTGGAGGTAACCCAAAGCCTTTTAAGACCACCTTTTGTTCCTGATTGCCTTTTCAAGGAAAAATCTGAAAGTCCACTTAGATGGTACAGGAGATCTTCAGAAAAAAAGCAGGAGGAATAAGCACCGGCACTCCCTGAAAGTGTAGAAGTTACCATCATTCACCCTTCCAAAGTCCCAAGACAAAGGCCAGTTGGACCATTGCCCATCCAATGCTCAGGAGCTGAAGAACAGTTTGCCATATCTCTTCTTCCACATCATGGAGAAAATCTATCAATGTGGTCCCTAATATTTGATTGGGAGCCACCCAGAGTTGCTTGAAAGATGGCCAGCTACATGTGTTTTAAATAAATAAATATAAATAAATAATGACTTGATGGCGTGTAATCAACATCCTCTTCCTCTGCAGCTAAGCAGAGTGATGAACACTGAACACAGCTACAAGCTCGCTGGCATGGGGACAAGTGGTTCTTCAGTTTGTGGTAAACACAGGTCTGCTCAGACATTTGCCTTGCCATTCAGGAATTTTTGCTCCACTGAGTTTTCAGCAGCTTTTGGTGACTGCTGTTGCTTCCCTTGCTGCCGCAGTCGGTAGATCCCAATCTTTTGTTTATAGCTTATCCAATAAACTACACCAGCAACAAGAGCAATAAACAGCGCCACAGCAAGTATATAGCCAATGATATGGCCAATGGATTGAGGAGCTGTGAAAGGGAAAAAAACCAAATGCATTAAAATTTAGCATAGAATAGTTCCATAGCATTACAGTTCTACCAACTTGGCAGTAGTAGTAGCAGTTATTTTTCAGGCATGGTACATAATAATAAAATACAACTTCAACAATTTGGTGCAATAATACAGTACATTCAATAATACAGTACATTCTAATCTGAGAAGACAGAATATAAGCTGTGAAAATGCCTATAGCATTTAAAACCATCATAGGAACTTACATTTGAATCACAATAAGAATTTTGCATGAGGAGTTGATGCTTAAGCCATCATCAAAGGTTCATTAAGATAAAAATATTTGAAATTTTGAAAAAATGAACAAATGAAAGTTGATTCCAGAGAACTGGCACTGGATGGGAAAAAATCTCTTAAGCCTGATATGCCTACTTTAGTATAAGGAGGTATAAATCAGCGCTATGTTGACAATCAGCTGAGATTTACAGGTAGTCCTTGCTGAACTTTATACTTGTTCAGTGACTGTTCAAGTTATGATGGTGCTGAATATGGGCTGCTTATGAAGGATCCTCATATTGTCCCTGTGTCTCTGAAGTCATATGATTCCGATATGTGTGTTCAGCGACCAGCTCGCAATTACAATGTTATTGTCTTCCACAGTCACATGATGGCCATTTACGACCTTAACAGCCACCTTCTGACAGGCAAAGTCAATTGGGAAGCTGGCAGGAGGTTGTGAATGATGAAGATATAAGTACAGGATGCTGCAATGTGCAGGATTCTCCTAACAACAGCAAGTGGAGGCAATATTATGCTTTATGACTGCATAGCTTAGCTATGGAGTTCCTGGTCCCTGGTTAGTGAAGACTACCTGTATTGTCTATTATGCACCAAGACAAATTCCTTGTGTGTCCAATCACACTTGGCCAATAAAAAATTCTATTCTATTCTATTCTATTCTATTCTATTCTATTCTATTCTATATTCTATTCTATTGGTACAGGAGCCATAAGCGTTTTTTAAAAGAAATATTGGGTGTGTATAAGGCCAGAGGAGTTAACATCAGCAATTTAAACTTATATCTTGAATAAACACCAGCCAATGTAGGAATTAGGAATAGATTAAACAATGCCCAAAATGGTGTGAATTCTGGAAGTGGATCAAGTGATAAAGAGAGGAATCTGGTAAATGCTTACTGCTCCAATCATCCAGACATGAGATGTCTGGATCATTGATTAAATGAAAACTACGAATGGGGATGGTTTTATTGAGGAAGATCTTTAAGGAAAGCCACTCATTAATTTGGACTTCTAGGTTCCTCACCACTGAGGAAGCCAGCAGCTAGAAATCAAAAAGAAAAAAAAAACCCTCAGAAAATGGAAAAGAAAGATCAGGAAGAAATACAACAGTCTCTGTCTTGTACATATTTGCTTTTTCATGGTAGGAATCTATGCAGCCCTACAAAGGCATTTAGAAGAAAATGCTAATACTATGTTATATGGAATAGAGACAGAGGAACACACCTGGATTTTGCCTGCATACTGTATAATTGAAAATAAGCATCAAAGGACCCAGAAGAGAGAGAGAGTAAATAAAAGACAAACGGAGTCCAAAGGATTACTCACTGATGAAGGAAAAAATGGAGATAGAATCATTCCACATAATAGAGAAAGAAAACTGAGACAAATAGTTGTGAAATCACTGTAGTACTGGTATTACTAAGGGAACTCACATAGGAAAATAATATTGATGATTCAAAGAAACAAATATAGCAGATAAATTAGGTAATAGTAGCACAGAACATAGGTGGTTTGCGTTGGCCACCAGGAGATTGAGTATAATGTGTCTAAGTCAGCTTGGTAGAATGAAAACTCCTTACATGAAAACTCCATTGAAACAAGCATGTGAAACTGAGAAAGAAATTGAGAGAAAGGTATATTCTTCAAGGAGTTTTGATAGGGATGGAAGACAAGACAATGGGGAAAAGTGGGAATGTATGAAAGGACTAAGAGATAGGGTTTTTTTTTTTCCTAATAGAGGATGCAGACAGACATGTTTCAGGGCAGAGAGCAGGGTGAAATGCTCCCAGTTCGGACCAGATCGCCCAATCCGGTAGCGATGGCGGCGGGTGGTTCGGAGAACCGCAAAAATCCCTCCCCCCCATTACCAGCTAAGCTGTGCAATCATCAGAGGCCTTTTTTATTTTTAAAACCTTTTTTTCTACAACCTCTTCAGCCGAAAAAATACTTTTAAAAGTAAAACAAAAAGCCTCTGATGATCGCGCGGCTCAGCTGGAATCCTCAGAGGCGTTTAAAAGCATTTTTTTCTACAACCTCTTCGGCCGAAGAGATTGTAGAAAAAATGCTTTTAAAAGTAAAAAAAAAAAGTTGACCACACCCACCCAATCACATTACCCCCCCCACCAAGCAACGCCCACAGAACCGATAGTAACAAATTTTACATTTCACCACTGGCAGAGAGCTACAGTACCCACCAGCAGATGAAAAAAGGCAGAAAAAGAAAGTAGTGATAAATACAGGGAAGAGAGAAATGAATGGAATAACTGATGGTATATGTGATGATTGAAAGGGAAGACTTTCACTTTGCTAAATGATATGTGTGAAAAATTCCAGTAGTTGATCCTGGAAGACATTTCTTTCAAGAATTGTACAGCAGGAGTATATCATAGCTCTCCTAATCTTGTCTCTGCCTTTCAAAACTCTACTGAGCCTCCCAACTTTGATACTGTTTAATGCTATTAATGCCGAATATTTGCCAACATGTCCTTCTAGGAAATGTTTCTTTGCTATATTAAGATGTTGAAACAGGTGTATTAAAAATGGAAGAGTATATATAAAAGCTTAATTGCAGAATCCAATCATCTTAGCTAAAGATTACTAAAAATGAAATTCAACAATATGTGAAGATACACGTTGGAGAAGTAGACATAAAGATAACAGCAAATTATTGGAGGGCAATTGAATGAGCAGGATGCTGGCATAGGAGACTACCTTCAACTCCCTCGCTCTCTCTAAACCCTTCTTAAACAGAGTCTCTTCACAATGAATCTTGGCTTAGCGCCAGAACCATTTCAAATTTTTCTTGACTGGGTTATAGATGGAAGGGCTGTGATGGCCAGAATTTTTATCAGTTTGTTTCACTGGGTGAAATCTATAACTCACTACTTGACAAATAAACTTAAATGCAGATTTGGCTGGTAGTTACAAGACCTAAGACTGTGGTCATTCTTGTTTTTTAGGTCAAGGAGTTAACTTACGTTCAACGTGTACGGTCACATCTCTAACATCAAAGCCATACTGGTTAGTAGCATTGCATTGATATATGCCATCATGCTCTATCTGGATCAGCTGTGGTTTCCCAATGTTGTAAGGTCTCCCATCTTTCCAGCACTGAACAGTTGGTGGGGGGTTTCCCAAGGCTGAGCAAGTAAGTGTCATCGTACTTCCTGCCTTCCAAGTCCATGTCTGGGGACAGCTGAAATCGTCCATTTGGGGGCCATCTAGAATGGAGAAAGAAATGTAGTTAGGTTCACTGGTAATAATGGATGTAGTGAAGCAACTATGTACTGCAAAACTGCAGAAGCATTGGTGGTATCTATTGCAGTTTATACAATGTTCATTGTCAATGGATTCTGGAATCTATAAGGATGCTACCATGATCCTCTACAGATGGAACATGGCCTCCAAAGGCAGAATTTAGCAGCTAGTGTCAAAGTTTTGGAATCCCAAGTCTAATTTGCATAGACCCCCCATTTTACAGATACTTTGTACTTAACTTTGTATGCTTCCACTAGCTGCAGGACCCCCCTTTCCTAAAGACATCTACCCATCCTACCAGATCAGATAGAGTGAGCATGCTCCTAGTTTCTTCCCCTAAATATTGCCATCTGATGGACTAAGAACCATATCTTTTCTGTGGCAACCCCTACCCTATGGAACACTCTGTCCTTTATAATTCAGCAGGCCTCCACTTTCCTAGCCTTCCGAAAAGCACAAGTGCTGGGATAAAATTGGATGACTGCACATTAGAAGTTTGATTTGGCACCAGGTTTTTGTTGTTTTTAATGTTCTAGTGTGTTTAGTTTTAGACTTTTAATATGGTTTTATGTGTTGTTTGAACTTTTGATTGGGAGCCACCCAGAGTTGTTTTTAAGTAAGCAAATAAATCCAAGCCCCATGGACAAAACTGCCATATCTTTAGAAACACTGGAATCTATTTTTACCTGAGGGACAATTAAATTGTAATATTTGGAGTCATGAACATTTTGAGTCTCTTGCCATTTTCAAAATGCTAAAAACAACCACAGAATGAATTAAGGAAGGACTACAAAGCTGGAGCAAAGGCTTTTTTTTTTTTTAACTTGGCTATGATTTTTCCAAATGGAATACTCAACATGAATTTTGTATGGTTCTCTTTGGTCATTAAGTCATTGCTTTGGACAAATGGAGAAAACAGCACAAGGGAAAAGGATCAATCGCAGTTTTTAGTTTTTTCTTAAATTATGGAACATCTGAGTATCACTCTTCTTATATTATATCAGAATAGAATAGAAATTATGCAAATTTTGCAAATCTTTTAAGGGCTGCTTCAAACACCTCTCTAAAACAGCACATGCTCAGGATCCCGTTCTGGATCAGGAGTCTATAAATAGTCCTCGACTTACAATCATTCATTCAGCCACTGTTTGAAATTAGAATGCTTCTGAAGAAAGGAACATACTACCTGTATTCAGTTAAGGGGTTTGCAAGGCCCTTATGTTCATGTGATGAAAATGTGGGTGCCTGGCAGGCCACCTGGCCTTACAACCAACCACAGGGACACTGCAACTGCCCCCACCTGTCTATCTTCCACCCTACATCCTGCCCTGCTAGTGCCAGAGGCCTTGGACCTGCTTTCTATCCCACCACACTTTGCTTCACTTATCTCTTCTGAAGAATCCCTTTTCCAAAAGAGTGACCAGCCAACGCAACATGTGTGCTTCCTATAGAGGTCACCTTGCACCTTTGCAAATTCATACCTTTCTAAGAGATTGTAAGAATGGCACCACTTCCAGAAAGGCATGATGCAGCCTTCGCATCACATCAGTTGGGTGTTCTTTCAAAAAGGAGTTCTTCAGAAGAGGTAAGTGGATCAAGGTGTGATAGGGCAGAGAGGAGTCCCACGGCCTGAGGGACCCAGCAGGATGGAAAGCAGATCCAAGACTGTGGGATCTGATGGGGTGGGAAGCTGTTTATGGGTGTCTCAGGGGGTCAGCCATGTCTGAACTCAGGGATACTGCAATGTGGGCCTGGGCTTGAACAGGGTTCCACAGGGCCTCTACCACAACTTGAGGCAGCCCTCACTCTCTTTAATGATGATGGGAAAAGCCTGGAATGTGGTCACTGAGCAAGGGTGCCTCTCTTAATGACAACAACCTATGCCCATAATTCAGGGCTCCATTTTGGCCATAGGTCAAGAACTACCTGTATTCCTGATTGGCTAATGAAAAAGGGGATTCATTTTGTGCAAATATAAGACCCCATGCATCAAGGAAGTCAAAGTATACCACATCCCCAGCCTGAAACACATCACAGAAGCAAGTAACACCTCTTTGACACAACCTGAATAGATTTAAATAACCAGTTGAGAACATAAAGGGGTATATGTATCTCCAAGAGTACTGAGGAAAATCAGAAAATATATTACTGATGTTTTTAAAAAACATAAATAGTATCACAATGGGACATGTTGTTTTGGATGTCAGAAATTAATCTTCCTGATGGCATCAAACCTATTTGCCACTTTGTTAGCCAGCCTTGCATTGGGTTTCCTACCTAGTTCATGGGAATAACTAAACCCAATAACTAATGTACACCTTCTCTAACTCTAATTGGAACAATATACTTGTATCTTCATAGATTAGCTGGGAGGTCAATTTGTTTTGAAACATCATTCTCACTGAGGCCAGACTGACCCCAAACTTGTTAGCTTTCCAGAAGAGCCTGAAGACATGGCTCTGCCATCTGGCCTGGGGATCTGGGAACAGAGATATGGAGCTATTAAAGTAACTGTATTGTTGGGGAAACTGAGTGTGCTTTCCCATGTATTTTTAATGTATTTTTATTGTTTTAATGATTTTTCTTGTAGTTTTTATTACTTAGTTATATTGAGTTTTTGTGTGTGTATTTGTTAAATCTATATAGCCACCCAGAGTCATAGAACTAAGATATATGGCGATATAAATAAATAAACAACAATTTCCAAGTACATTAATAATTAGGACACTAGATGAGTTTCTATACGAAAGGAACCACTGGGTAATGGAAGCATCTACTCATATGATCCTCCTGTTCCCCCTTCTGGGGTGCAGAGACCTGGGATTACATAGCACTATGCAATGGTACCCTATTTCCAAAGTTCATCCTAGCTGTAAAATGTGTTGCCACACTATTTGAAGTAAAGATTACTGAATCTCTAGGAATAAAACATGAGGTGTATTTTTTCTTCCTACTCACAGAAGACGGTAAGTTTTTGAGACATGCTTCTTTCCTTGGTGTGCCCATCAATGGTCAGGGTTACTTGGCAGATGAATTCCCGCTCATTATCCTCTTGCTGAGTGATCACTGCATGCTGCAGGAAATGTTCATCTACGTTGCCAGATGCTAATATTTTGGCAGCATCCTTGATCTGCATTTTAAAACCAGGGGAAGCACTGCCATCAGCACTACATGTAATGTTCACTGTTTGACCGACGACAGCTTCTGAACTGCCAATTTGCAAGATGGGCTTTGGTAAAGCTGTGAGGGAATAGAGCAGAACAGTGATAATGTACTTAGATGGTTATAAAATGATTAATAAAAACAGTTGAAACAAATACTGGCTAAAGGCCAGCTCCTGTCCTAGATATGAAAACCGTCATTAAGGTCTAGGATAGAGGAACCCTAAGTTCAAGTCCATCTACAACCATAGAGCCTTAGTGAAGGAGTTTCACCTTCACGCTCACTCTCAGTCCAAATTCATCTCAGAGTTCTTGTAAGAAAAACTGCCGTATTTTAGAAGTAGCATAATTGAAATGACTGGATACCAGATGTTCCAAAGAAGTGAAATGGATGAGAGTGGCTGTTTCTTTCAATTTCTGCATTCTCTATTTGGTTAAGACATGTGGACCTCTTTAAATAAATACTGCATGTCAAAATGCAGTAAAAACAAAGCAATCGTAAGTTGTAATGGCTTTACGTCTAATGGCTTTAGGTCAGATCTAAGCTCTGTATATATCTAATCTGATATAAGAATATTTTTGGGTTCATCCTAAAATAGTTGTTCTTGGATTTCAATGAAAATAGAAGAGGGATGAGTCACTTATCCCTCCAATTCCATTGGTTTCAAAGGGCTGTCTCTCAAGCTATTTAGACTGATCCAACCCATTACTGAAGTTTTGTTTTTCAAAATAAAATCAATCTAACTTCTAACTTCTTCTATGTTTGTTCAAATAGATGGAAGAAAACTCTTCTAAATCTCTCTGTGTTAATAATTACAGATATGAGACTCACCAAACACGTTCACCGTCTTTGTCACATTTTTGGTCACTGGCCCCAGAGAGACTGTGCAGATCAACTCATGATCTCCAACTGAGGAAGAGGCTATCACAGCCTGGGCACTTGCCAAGCCCCCCATCACAGTGGTGTTGAAGGTCAGAGGTTTCCCTGCAAACCACAGATCAAACACGGCCTCTTTGGCTGGGGAAACCTCAGGTGCATCACACGTCACTTTCATCAGAGTCCCAGCTTCTAAGAACAGGCCAGCGTGGAGCAGGGGAGCCTTTGCAAAATCTGCCAAGAAAGTAAGAGAAATCAGGTCAGTTATTGCAAAAGAAATCACAGCCACAATAGTATCCTCTCCCTAACCTCTCAGGGGGTGAGTGCTGGGGCAACTGTAGGGAACATCAAATTTATGCAAACAAATGTCAAAACAGTGGAATAGGTGGACCAGCCCCTCCTGTGGAGAAGTAGCATTGTCTAGCCACAGGGCGCAGTATGTCTAAATCAGAACTGGAGCAATGGATGGGATCTCACCAAAAGTCCATAATGATATGCCATGGGAGGTGTTTTTCAGGAGTGGTCCTCTTGGTCTCACATCCAGAGATGTTTGGCAGGTGATTGTCTTGTTGTAGTCATTTTGCTCAGCTCTTATGTGATGGTTCACCACAACTGCACCAGCTGCAGGCTCAGTGTGATCCTGAAAGGTCTTTACCAGAACTTGCTCTTCCCCTTTCAGCAAGGTCACCGTGAGATCATGGATGGGGGCTACACCAAAAACCCGACATGTGAAGTTATACAGCTTGCCCACTTCCATTTCTGGTATTGGATCCAGTTCAATACTCGCTGGAGATTCTGAAATAAAATGTTCTAAATCAATTTTGTTTGATTAGCATATGCTAGAAGTATGAACAAGCAATAATATGGCTCTTCTGTTATTTATTCTATGCAATAAAATTCTCTCTACCTAAGTGTATATTTCCCTGTATATTCTAAGTCAAACTTAAATATCTATATACCTTTAAGGGGCAGTGGATGGCATGCCTTAGCTTTCCCAAAAGAAATACCTTGTCTCTTATCATCTGAAAGATCTATTTCTATTTGCTTGCCCTAGTTAGATAATTATTTCCATCTTTTGCCTTAGCTAAGTGCCTGCATTCTTGCTGGACATTAATGTAGGTAATCCTCACCAAAATATAGCTTTCCTTTGTCAATTCCCCAACACTTGATCATATATTCTCCTGACTATTTTCCCCTAAACACTTTAAAATGTAAACTATGCAAACTGTCTTATTTTCCCAAAAGGAATCCAGGGGAGGAGATGGAGAGAAATGTTGAAGTGTTAAAAATCTTGCCTAAGAAAGCCTCCCCTTGTGGGTGGCTTGCCACGATGTGCCCCTCCTGCTGCCCTGCATACCGTAGGAGCTACATGTATTTCTTCACTGTTTTAACTTTTGTTGTGTACTGCTCCCACTTTTAGTGAGACGGTCAGCTATATCATTTTGATAAAGGAAATAAACCAATTGCAACTGGTGCAGAACAAAACTCTCCTGCATAAGTATCCCAAATTGTTCAATAAAACTGTGTTAATTGTTTTTATTCTGGTTTCTGTTGTCCATTACTCAGTTATTTGACCACTGAGCTAAGGTTTGATTCTACCGGACTCTTGTGGCTTTCTGTTGAATTTGAATTGTAGGTACTTTAGATGCCCAATATTTTTCATTTGTTACTACAGTCATCATGTGACTTACTGTAAACGGTAATGGTTGTTTTTGCAGGTTTTGCGCGGGATTCCTCAGCATAGCACAATGAGTTAGTATTCCAGTCATTGATGTTGGTGACAAGGAAGGCTTTCCAATTGGATCCAGTTCCAATGATTTCTTTTCTGAAGACGGTTTCAAGTCCAATCGCATCTGCTTCAGTATTGGCGCTGCAGTTTATCTGAAGTGAACCTCCGAATTGCACCACAGGATTTTCTGGCCAAATCCTCACAAAGTCTTCCTCTGCGAATCCTGATATATAAAAAAAAAATATGTATGCAATTTGCATAAAAATACAGTTATAAAAGAGTGGAAAAGGTTTGAAAGCAATGAGATTTAATTTTCTAGTATTAACTGTATTCATCACCCAGAATCACTTCGGCATTATGTCCAGCCATATAAATATAAAAATATAAATTGCAGGCATTAACGAATGTGGATGAATACAGCAGGCAATGAAGTTTTTATTTGTTTATTCAAGTCTCTGTTAAGGTCGATTAGCTTTTTGAGCATTATGAATTAATAGCTGTCATGGGTTTGATGAGACCCAGCACTGATCCTGAAATGAAGTCAAGTCTCTATCTGCAAGAATGCCAAGTCAAGCCCAAGAGATTAGAGCAGCATTTCTCAACCGTGGCTACTTTAAGAAGTGTGGATTTCAACTCCCTGAATTCTGGGTATTGAAGTTGGCGAAGTTGAGAAATGCTGGATTAGAGAGAAGGGGGAATGCTCAATGTCTAGCATACGCCCCTTGTGACTATGAGAGGTCACTGTATTGACAAACCAATTCTCCCTAAATGTTATTTAGTTGCTGTCTGAATTCTGAGTAGGAATTAGGATGTCTTAGCATAACTTTGCAGAATTAAGTGCTAGATATTTCCTGCCTTTTCTTTATTATGAATATCAGGAACTCAGTTCTTTGATCAGTATCAAGTCATGTCTCATTTCCAAAGACTGGTAAAATTGCAGGAAACCATTCAATATTTGTTCTTACTGCTTTGTTAGAGAGGAATTATACTCCTCTTGGGAGGACAATCTAGGGGGGGTCAGGTTCAAGCTAAAGGAGGAGATCTGCCTTCCCAAAGATGTGCAATTCAGAGATTTCAATCCTTGCTGTTGCACTACTGATATTCCAAAAGCATAGACACTTTTAATCCAAAACTGTCTGTTCCCTATGATGCAACTCCAGAATGGGGAGGGGGGGAGAGCGGGAAGTAGACTGAATTTGAATAAGTCCAGATTGCTTTGGAATCTGACAAATCCCTCTCTCCCTGAAATTTGTTCTCCAGCCACCAAAAATATTGCTGTAATCTTCACAAGTGTTTCTCATTAGTTTGTTTAGCACATTCCTGCACTCTTGAGTGGTTCAGCAGAAGTCTCCGTAAGGGTGGGGGTGGGGTGCCAAAAAGTAAAGATGGCAACCATGGCCATGCAATCAAAGCCTTATTTTGTTTTTAAATGTATCATTGCTCTGACTGGGAATTCTGGTCATAGCAGTCTCAACACTTCAGACTGTGGCAGATTGGAGAAAGCAGTTCTGATAGTTCAGCAAAAAAGTTGTAGCCTAGAGCAGGGGTGTCAAACTCAATTTCACTGAGGGCCACATCAGGGTTGTGTTTGACCTCAGGGAGGGGCGTGGCCAGCTCAACATCACTCATGTCGGGGACGCCTGTGGGGGCCCAAGCACTCTGCCAGCGAAAACGGAGCTTGGGGGACCTGCATGCAGCCCTCCTGAGCTCCTTTTTCACTGGCAGAAGCAGGCTGATCCTTTTCTGTTTTCAGGGTGGCCCCATGGGCCAGATCTAAGCACTCCGCAGGCTGGATCCAGTCCCCGGGCCTTGAGTTTGACACCCCTGGCCTAGAGAATGTGGAAATCTTCTGTTCCTGTAATTTTTGGAGGTGTTGCCTCTGGTGGTACTTAGGGGTCTCAATTACAGGATGTGCTCAAATGTGACTCAGAAGGTGCTTCAAGGCTTCTTTTTTTTCCTTTGCACAAAATGACTCATTGACTTGCTTTACCATCTTCTACTTACAGTACCTGTCTGTCTGGAATTAACTGCCACACCTTTCCTTACCTGTGTTAAAAGAAATATAGCTCATTTTCGGAAATTGCACAACTGAGTGAATAGAAGAATAGCCATTTAACGAAACCCTTGAGTTACTATGATGCAAGTCTAAGTTTTATTGCTGTCCCCCTAAGATCACAGATCCTCTCGAATCAACATGGGAGGGGCTGCAAGATATCTTATCTATGTTGAAACTTGAGAAGGAGCCTTTTACATCCCTAATGTCTGGCCAGCACTCAAAGGATGGGCTTCAGTATCTAAATATTGCCCTGCTGTCCTTTAATTAACCAGCTCAGCCTGCAACAAAATATGTACCTTGCCTCCACAAAGAATGTGATTGCCAAATAATATTCAACCCACCAACTGTGTTTTCATGGGAAATCAAATGCAAGGAGGTTGAAATATCTGAGTATTCTTAGGGTTGATGGGTGAAACCTCTTGTTTGTTTTTCTTCTAGCAAATTGACTGCAGTGTGCAAGACTTCAGGGAAGGTGTGTCAGAAGAAACCATTCTTATCAAGCCTTCAGGTTGGGCAAATAATTAAAAGACCAGAGGGAAGGAATGCTTAAAACAAACAATCTGCAATTGGTGTCTCAGAAACTGCTTTGGGGAAAGCACCTAATTTTTTAAGATTAAAAAGTCCCGTTGCTACCCTTTTCCAGGAATAGGCAGAAGGAAAAGAAGAAAATTATAACTTTAGGGCAACAAGTTAACATAAAGTTTGTGTACATGAATGTGCCTTGTTTGGACTAGAATCTGCAGTTTTCTTGGTAAGGTTTTGCAGAAGTGGTTTGCCTTTTGACAATGTCCCTAACTCACAGTTTCCAAAGGATTTTAGCCCATAGAGTGACTGGCCCAAAGCCACCCAAGCTGGTTTCATGCCTAAAACAGAACCACAACTCAAGAGTTCCCCACTTTCTAACCACTACATCCAAGTAGCTCTCTAGTGTGTCCTTTAAGTAAGACTTAAACAGTGCTGAGGTTTGATCCGAGTTCAATCTCCTGTATTCATTTCGAATGCTAATCTTCAGACACATAAAGTAACTCTGCAGCCTGAATTAAAGACACAAAAATCTTCCTGGCCAGAACCAGCTGTTTCCGGACAGGTCAGGAGCAGAGCTTGTATGTAGGCAGAGGATTCAGAGAGGCAATTTCCCTCATCAAAACTTCTAGATCCCACATTCCACCGGTGGCAGATCTCCGCTTCGCACTAGTAACTGAGAGTTTGGAGGAAGCAGATAACTGTGAAAAACCTACCGCTCCCTTACCTTTTTCAAAAGCCCAGGAGCCCAAAGCAACGAGGAAAAAGACGAAAGATCGCTGCATGATGATCGAGGCGGAACTCAAACTCAGAGAAAGGCGCCTGCTCGGGAGACGGTCCGAATGTAGCCAAGTGGAAATTGAAATGGAATAATTTGAAAGCCTGGTTGCTGCCGCTAGATCCACACGCAGCCCGGCGCCTGAGCTCTTTTTGCCCGACTACAAGCGTTGCTCCTCTTTTTATAAATGTTCCGGGAAACGCCCCTTTTCCCACGCAGGACGGTCACGGAAAACCCCCCCATGGATCTCTTATTTCGCCCCTCCGCGTGCGGCTGGGGAAAGTTCCAGCCCTTATGACACGCTCCCACGAGGCGCTTCCCCGCCCCCGTCAAGACCATCAACCCAAGTGACTAAAGATAAACTAAAGTTTATTTGCTTGTGTGTTTACTTACCTATCAAATTTTTAAAACCGTTCATTTACCTCGCAGAGGGACTCTAGAGCGGTATACAAGTAGAAACGTTAAAAACACACGCACACGCACCTGTATGTGTGTATTATAACTTAAAAAGTCAAGGAATTTATTAAACATTAATATTGAAAGTTAATTTAAAAATGGGAGGAGGGCTTTCAGAGCGATAACCAGCCCCACGAAGTTGGCTCGAGCCCCGAGCTCCAAGCCCTTTTCCTAAGAAGGAATTCCGGAAGTGATGACGGGGACAAATGTATTATTATAGCTAAAGATCTTGCAACACTTTTGGGGGGTGAGGGTAGAGAGCTTTCCTTCGCTTCGCCCAGCCCAGGCGACTCAAAGGTTGCTTTAATTTAAGAGATAACTGCAACTTACCCCGACTTTTTACCTGCAAAAGAGAGATGGCAGGTGTCTGTAGATTGCCTCAAAACCTGACAATCTGTGCGCTTACTGTAAAAATGAGTTTATCCTAAGAAAAATGAAAGTTTTACATCTCAGGCCCTCCTTCATTTCTGAGTTGGTGATACAACTTTCCATAAATCTTACCCTGATTCACCACCACTTCCTGTTTGACCCAGCACAAAGGCTTTCCACAAAATATTTGCTGAATGCATAGCCGCCTCCGCCTCCTCAACCCAACCCTGGTCCATTATCCAGGCAGCCTGAGCCTGTAACTTCTTGCTCCATTGCAGATCCCCCCGCCCCCCGCCGCCGCAAAGTCTGTCTTGCTGGACTGAGAAGTCTGTAATGAATTGATTCATGGTAAATTTGGGGTAAGGCCTCACCCTTCTCCCATGGGCCACCTGAGGCTACTGTAGTCAGGCCTCCAACCTTGCCCCCTACTAGTTCCTGGCCTCTGATTTTGAAAGCTGCCTGTTCCAAAAAGCCACCTCTCCCATTTCTTTGACTCATATCATTGGTGGTGATGGGGAAGCGGTCTTTGAAATGACAGTTCATCTGGAATCAAGGGAAGAGGGAAGATTGGAGGCGAGTCTTTTGCTGTTGGCTTCTCCAAATTTCTTAGAACTGGAGAAGCACAGCAGATGGACTTCCCTTTTCCTGCCACTTATGAGTAGCAGGAATGGCAGGAAAAGAGAAGGTGGCCAAGTAGGAATTTTTACTACCAAAAACTGGCACCAAAATTATATCTGTTTCTTTTTCAGGCAAGACTTGCCTAACTGCAGGGGTGTCAACTGCTGATGCTCTTCCCCTAAAAATATAGTGGACACCATTTCCCTCATGGACTTCTAAGAGAAACTAAACTATAACTTTAGAATGATGATCCATGCATTATTATATTGTGATGGAAGCTTATATACACATGTGCAATGCCACAGCCATGTACAGAAAGGGCAAAGTTATACAATACAATGCACATTTTATTGCTCCTGCAATCTGGAGGACAGATTGGGTGATTGTCCCTATTCTCATTCCCTCTCCCTCTCTCCCTCCCTCTCCCCCTCTCTCTCGGGGAGGGGCTAATCCATGTTTCAAGGCAGTTCTAAAGTATGAGAAGATTGCACTACTATGCACTTAGCCCAGTGATTTAATGCCTCATGTCTGCTTTTTTTTTTTAGGGGTGGAGAAGGTGATCAGCAATGTCCAGCAGCAGCAGCTTCAGAAATCCTTCCAGTCACCATAAAAACTACTTTCTATGATGTCCCAAAGGTGCTTTTTCAGGAGGCAACTGGACTTCCTTGTTTTTTCTTTTGAAGACGTTTTGCTTCTCATCCAAGAATCTTCTTCAGCTCTGACAGGATAGTGGCGAATGGAAGGATTTATATTCCTTGCAGACACCTGGACTTTTAGCTATACAATTTGGGATGAACACCCTTTGAATGGTGTGGGAGTAGGAATGGATTTCCAGAGAAAAATTGCAGACTACAGGAACCAGGAGCGCTACTCAGGTGACCCTGAGGACACAGATAAACCTCCAAGTGCTTCAAGGACCCTCTAAAAGAATGCAAATGACCAGCTGCCTGCAAGTAATATAAATCCTTCCATTTCCCACTATCCTGTCAGAGCTGAAGAAGCTTCTTAGATGAGAAGCTAAATGTCTTCAAAGAAAAAACAAGAAAGCCCAGTTGCCTCCTGAAAAAGCACCTTTGGGACAACCATGATCTGGATGACTGAGAATCTCTACAGACTTTTACTCTCTCTGTTATTCCTTGCTTCTAGGTTTGTAGAGTTTAATTGATTTATATGATTGCCTATCTCACAAATGTGACTAATAAAATGTTGAAACAACAAAAACAGCATTATTAAAGTGCAAAATACCAAAATGGTAATTGAGGATAAACTCAGAAAAGAGAATTGACAAAGACCTCTCAACAGGGCATCTAGCCTCCCATCAATTTTCCAGATTTGTCTCCCAATGCTTCCCGCTTTGAAGTTTTTAAGATTATTCTCACACATGTCACTATAGCTTTTTTTTTTAAAATGGGGGGCAGAATAATTAATAACTGGTTTATGATTTGGGGTTGGAAAAAACAATTGTAAAAGCTGTAGAATTCCAGGTGCTACTTGTGAATTATTCCTGAACTGGAGTTTCTGCCTTGGATTTCATTTATTTCTCACTTCTCTCAGTTTTTTCATAAGTGAAGAAAATGAAAACAGTTTGAAAAATAGATTCATATTAGCGAAGCAACCATAGGTGCAAGAATATATGAAGGGTCAATCCATGGCTGAATTTTAACAGAGTACTAATAGTTTACACAACTTAAGTCTCATATCCTTATTTGTGGTATGTTTCATATAAAACATTGAGAATGTCTAGAGTAGCAGTTTATAAATCTCTGTCTCTCTTTCTCTCTCTTTAAAAAAATGGTTGTTGCACAGGTGGTGGTGTCAGGAAAGGACTCACCGTTCCCTTTTAAAGACATGTGAACAGAGCAATCTGAACTACACAAATCAGGATGATCACAGGATGGCAGCAAAGAGTTAAGATTTCTGTATGTCCTTGCTGTCCTCTCATGATTGTTCAAGATTTTTGCAGCCTAGACATGGTAGCCCTAATTCCAGAGGCAGGTTCTTCAACATCTTATAGAGAAAAGAGGATGGTGAAATGGAAGCTCGAAACATGAGAGAGTAACAGTACCTACAGAAACCTCCTTCCTTGTGTCAAAACAGAGGAGGAGGAGGAGGAGGCTTCTTTTAGGCTAAGTGTGTTCTACACAGACTGCTCTCCTCATGGGGACATTAAGAAATCTCTTTGAATGTTGTCGTTTTTTAATTGAAATGAACACAAATAAACTAATATTGCTAGGCACACCAACTTGATTGATTGATGTAGTTTCTGTACCACTTCTGTTCAATGCATCTCTAAATAGACTTATCAGAACAGGCAAAGGAGGACACAGACAATTGGAAAGGAGGACAAATGTGGGATAGGAGGGGGACACACTTATTGTTTAGTTTTCTTGACATCCATGTTAAAAGTTCCATTGAAAAACTGAGAACAACAACAACAACAAAAAGAGTACTTAAGTATAGTTAACTATGCCTTAAGTGTAGTCTTATGTACAATATATGACATTACTTTTTCCAGCATCTGAAAAAGTTACTTTTTCTAGCATCAGTGGTGGGTTGCTAGCGTTTCACCCCGGATCGAGCAAACCGGTAATGGCGGCAGCGGGAAGCGGAGGCAGAAGTGTCACACATGAGCGCATGCGCATGCACAAGTAAATGGGTAGCAAACTAAATTGAAACCCACTACTGATCAGAAAGATTGATTTTTTAATGGCAGGAATGTGCTAGAGGAGGCAAAAGCTGATTCAGGTCTTGTCAATTGCAGGAAGCAGCATAAGCCAGCAGGAGAATGCTAATCAATTGATTAAGGTCATAGACCTGAGCTTGTTAATTTGTGGTTAGTACGTATCAAGAAGCAAAGAAAAGCTGCTCAGAAACAGAAAGCATTTTAGATACTCAAGAAGTTAGACAATATTTGATTTTAAGGCTATTCCTGCCAGATAGATGGTGTGTCCTACTTTTGCCAGATGTCCTCTAAGTCAGCGGTCCACACTCTTTGTGGCACCAGGAGCCAGTTCTCTGGAAGACATTTTTTCCACAAAAAAATGGGGGTGAAGCGATGGTTTCGGTTTCACACCACAGACCGGTAGAGGTCTGTGGCCCGGGGGTTGGGGGACCCTGCTGTAACTAACCCTCTAAGCCATAGAGTACAACAAAAAACCAAATGAAGCAATGATAATACTTTTATTAATACTGTACAAGCAATTGGTAGTATTGTATTTTTCTGGCACTGACCTCTGACAAATTGTTCAGTCTCCCAAGGCCTTGTGGGTGGGTGGTTGGGGGGGAGGTAGAGAGTAAGTGGGAGGAGAGAAGCAAGCCTTGAGAAGTCTTCGGGAGGCTTTGAGAGAAAACCACTGAAGGTAGGAAGTGGAAATGTTGGCCTCCTTTTTGCAATTAAGCAAGCAAGATCACACTTGCCTTGTTTATGGTCTGAGGTATGTGTGAGCTGAAGAGAAAGGAGGAAATTAAAAAGTTCATGGTGGTGGTAGTGCTGGGGTGAAAACGGAAAGGAAAGAAACACAGGTTATTCTCAATAGATCCCAGAGCTGGTTGTGCTTTCCTTTACGTAAATTTTCCCTCCTGGTAAAGTAATTGCAAAGGTTACATGAGTCAGCAACCTTACTGGTCAACAGATAGATATATTTGGTTTTTCAAGAGGTGAAGCACATGTTGCACAAACAGAACCATATATGAAACCACTTTCTCACATGCACATAAACATACAGTATTTACATGTTGGAAAATTTGGGGAACCAAAAGTGGAAAGCAGCAGAGGGTGCTTAACCCTTTCCTTACCTGA